AATTAACCGGAATAAGAACACATGTTGTTTTCAAACGAAATATCATGTTTAGTAGTGGCCGATCTTTGATCGGGCGAGCGGGGGTGTCTAGATGACCTTCCCCAATCGTACCAATTCCGAGCCGAGGCAACTTGTGTGATGATGGACACGTGCCCTTAGGCACGAGTCAAGGGTTTCCTAAATTTTCCCAAAATAAAATATTTAGGTGGCGACTTGTATCTAGCAAAGCAGTCATGTTTGGACTTCTTTACAAAAATCAGTTTACCCAAATGATTTGTTGGATTTGGACTCTTTGGTGATTTTATCGGTCTCATTGCACTTTGTGAGATCAGATTCAGAACCGTGACAATTTGAGTCCAAACTTAGGATGAGGCCTTCGGGGCGCATCTACAGCTGCATGTGAAAGGACATTCATTCCTAACCTCTTTACGCATATGTTATTCACTGGGCTTTAGCTTACTGTTTATATATATATATGTAGGCGTCCAGGCACCGGATTGGAGCTAAGAGCGTTGGGTTAAACTCCCTTTTTGTCAAGCCTACCAATGCGCCTCACTTCGAGGTTCCGAGTGTGTTCAAGCTAAGGCTGCTTTGGGGTGTTTTAGATTTTCCCCTTCTATTTCTGTTTTGTATAGACTGTATGAGACTTGCACTGTACTGTTATGGTAGGGACTTGGTCGCCAACTTGAATGCCTATATATGATGTACGTACATACTGTTTTGGTTCTGAATGTGAATATGTTGAAAAGTCTTTTTTGCATACAGATTGTCACAGCTCATTGGACATCTTTTATTACTATTTTGGCTTCCGCCAGCCCCTGTACTCTGTATTACTGTTACTACTGTTAAGCAGGCCTTCGGTAATCACGGATTACTGGCCGGTTACGGTGCTAAACCCATGGGGGCGGGTTTGGGTCGTGACAAGGTGTAAGTTTTCCTAAAACTACTTGCACCTTTTTTTCTGAAATTATTTACGTCTTTTGTGAAAACTTATGCCTTTTGTGAAAATGTATGCATTCTTGTGAAATTATTTACACATTTTTGTGACAACTTACACTTTTAGTCATATAATATATCATTTTATTCATATAATATATTATTTTACTAATTTACCTGGAATATGACCTGCTTAGCAAGTCACCAATGTGTAAGTTTTCTTGAAATTTGGTATAACCTAATACATAAAACATACATGTGCAATATATAAAAGGTGTAAGTGCCTTGCATATCATATGTAAGGCACACCTAAGAAAGGTCTTTTGTTATGGTGTTGATACAAAAAAATGTTATAACTAAATCATTTCTAGTCATAACTAAAAGGACCATACTAAATAATAACCAAATACCATATGTATGCTTGGTTTGGTTTTGCAAGAGTAGTTTTTAAAAATTATTTTGGGGAGAGAGTTTAGAAATTTTCTTGATTTGTTTGGTTGTGTATTTTGAAAGTAGTTTTGGAGTTTGAGAGTTTTGAATGATTTGATATTTTGTTACAGTTGAATAGATGTATGTAAGAGAAAAAGTGATTGAGAATGAGAAAAGAGAGAGAAAAAGTGATTGATTGATGTGTAGTAGAGAAAAGTGATTTTGAAATTTTTTTCTCTAAAATTTTCAACTAAACATTTTGCTGAATTTTTTTTCTCCAAAAACATATTTTGAGAGACAAACCAAACATGCTTATAATTTCTCATATAAATATATTTACAAACACAAGCATATTCAATTGCTATAAATCTATAATCCGTATATAAATCACAACAAAAACACTACGAAGCAATCAAATGAAAGACATGCAATCTTAGACACAAAAAAGCCATATAAGTTATTGTTTAATTGTTAACTAACATTGTCTAAGGCTCTTCTTCAACTTCATGGGCATTAGAAATGGAGCTAATCACAAAATAGAATTTTTACTCACCTGAACAAGACCATTTTGATAGCGAACACTACTTGAAAGAGGAAATTAAAAACCAACACTGTCATCCAAACTCTGACCGACAATGATGTGATACTATTTTAAAGTGGAAAAGAAATTTAAAAAAAAAAACATGAGAAAACTTACTATACCACCAACACACCAAAAATTAAACACAAAAAATGAAAAACATAGAGCTATTTGAATCTCATATGAACATTTATTTATTTCCCCAAGGAAAGGAAGAAAGAAGTTTGAAATCTTGTGTCAAAAACTACAGTGTCATTGAACCCTCATCCAATCCATCAATGCCATACTTGATAGGAAAATGGCTCTGAGATTTAGCTATATCAAATATTAATGAGTAGAATGCCTAGAAAATTAAGATGCTATTGATCACTTATTCAACTTGATGGTGTATACTCAAGGAGGTAGTTAAGCGGTCCCGAACCGAGGCACACGGCCGACGGCTCCGAAAATCGGTAACTGGGCTCCAAACGGGAAAAATGGCCTACGGCCACTGAGAGATGGTCTACGAGACCCCTCCCTCCCTTCGAGAAGAGAAAACAGAGAAAACAGGACCTGGTTCGCAAACCGAGGCAAAGCACAAAAGAGCCCCGAAGTCCGGAGGCAAGGCTCGCAGCCGAGACTCTGAAACCTCAGAACGAGCACAATATGCATCATCACCGAGCGCTCAATCGGTGGCGTCTGAGTCTTAAGGTCGGTCAAAAATGGGGTATTTATAGACATCAATAACTCAAAGATATCTGAGAGAGAGAGAGAAGGTAATGGACAAATTTTATTGCAACATATCAACTCAAAGATATCAACTCAAAGTCATGCAACCCTTTGTGGATTAGCAATGGACAAATTTTATTGCAACATTGAGTACTAAATATCCAAAGCTTAGCACATGCAGTAATCCAAGTAGCAGTCACAAATTAGAAAGTAATCCATCATCATAATTATTGAAGTGACAAAAAAATCAAGCAATTCAAACATCTTCTCGAACAAAAAATTTTAAAATAAAATCCACGTACTCAACAGATGTAACGGCCAAAAACATAGAAGAAAGTAGCAATTCAAATCCATAAACTCAAAGAACATGAAAAAAAACAATAATAAAAAAGGCAGGAAAAATCAGACCCCAAATAAAGCCAATGAGTCGACAACTGCCTTGGATGGTTTTCCTTGTACTGAAACAAACCAGAAAAGTTAAAATTAGTATATGGAGAGAGATAGGCATCTTCAATACAAGACAATAATGAATTCAGCAAAAACAACTGCTCAAGTCCACAAAAATACGTTAGTGTATACAGCTAAACAAATGAAGGAAGCCATGCTCACCTAAAATGAAATGTATTAAAAACAATCAAACAAAGAAACGTAACCTTGTTTTGAGATCTACTCAACAATACACATTTCAATTGGAATTCGTCCAGTTAATTTCAGCAAAGTGAACAACATTAAATCGTTCAGTAGTTCAAACTTGTCATATCAACCTTGAGGTTGTCGGTTCAAACTTGAGGACAACCACTTTGTGCAAATAATGCCAAAAAAAAATTATGTTCTTGGGTAGGGGTTTTTTTGTTATTTCTTTGTTTCTGAATTTGTAGGATAAGAAGGAAACCCTAATTTCAGTGGTAGTGGATGAGAGCAGAGAGACAAGAAACAAGGGATGTATGAATTTGTGCCAAAATGGGGTTGAATGCAACACTGACTTCTGGACGGTTGAGAATCTGATTGAGCAGCCGGCTGAAGATCAACATGTCAAATGCCCAATGCCAGACTCCTCCATTATGAATGTAAGGCATAAGTATTAATAATTTCATTAAATTAGTGTGTATTCATTATTTAATTAGATTAGTAGAATAAATTATCTTTTTATCTATTATTTAATTTGTATTGGATAAGAAAATATATAAAAATAAAAGAGTTTTTTTATTTTTTTTCCAACTCAGAATATATAATCCCACTGCTATCCCATTATTAATAATCCTACAAATTTGTTGGATTAATTATCTATTAGATTAATAATCTTGAAATAAAATTTCAAAACAAATAAAGAATTATTAGGTCCACGGATTAATAATCACAATCCCACACTCTAATACTGTCAATCAAACATGTCCTAAGTGAATAAATTAAAGTTTTATTAAATTGACATTGATTTTTTATTATTATTATTATGGAAACACACTAATTTTATATTTTTTGAGTCAACTAAACAAATCTTTACCAACTACTTGGCGTTGGCTACATGAATCCTAGTTTGCATATTTGATTAGGAGCCATAATTTTAGTTGAACAACAAGCTATTAACTTGTGTCCCAGGATCGAAACCGGGCTCTGAAACCATGAAAACTAGGTTTAAACTAAACCATGGTATTATTGAATTAATTAATGAACGATTACAAGAGAAATATATATAAGAAAACTAAGTAAAACCCTAGAGGCTAACAATGACTGAACTACCCTTAATGATAAAACAAACGCATGCTTAACACTTACTATCTTAAATCATGTTTAGTTTGGTCTTCCTCGTCCCCTAGCATTACCCGTAATACAGACTGTGTCACTTTTCTTGAGTCCCGTATATCAACTAGGGCCACTTTTTCTCAATTTCACTTTGTGTATTTACTCTGTCAACCCTTTCATATTCTTAAGGTGATATTCCTTCCAAAAGAATGACTACCATTACCTCAATCAACGAAATTGTACTCTTTTAACCAGCAACAGTGTGTTCAAGCCTTGAAACATTCATGTGATCCAATGTACTTCAGTGACACATTTGGATTATCAATAAATGTGCATTTATAATTTGTTTATCACTATGCTAACCATTAATAATTATTTATTATTCAGAATTATTAATTTTCAAATGTGATAGATAGAAAGTAACTTTTTTCTATACATTATTAGAGGTAACTTTTTTTCTATACATTATTTGAGGTAAAATTACAGGAATATATAAAACAGAGATAATTGTTGAATGTGCATAATGCATACATACATATTCCAAAACAAGAAAGCATGTGACTGAGATTAAGAAATAACATATGCACGTTGCATGTTTCTCAACTTACCCAAAACGGACAAACCAACAGAAAGATCTTTTAAGGAAGTGCATGTTTAAGGGGATGTGAATGCTCTTGTCCAAAATGAACATGAGAATGAGCATGGTCCACATCATGATCGTGTGAATGGGAGTGTTCACCACCTGGAAATATAACATAATCATAGAAAAACATATTATGACCACCAACAATGAAAAAATGCTACAAACCGTAGGTGAAAATCTAAAAAGAGAAAAATATAGTATCATCTACAAACTGTAGGTAAAAAACTGAAATCCTACCCCAACCTATCACAAAACCCTCCATTAAACCCACCTCCTAAGATCAATCTACCAACCTCCTCAAAACATCAACTCTCTACTAGAGGACAAACAACCCTTGATCCACTTCCTCTATCTCTCACCAAATCATTTCTTTTGCATGACAAAATCCAAAAACAAAAATCCAAAAAAAATACAATCCACATGCTTTTTCAAAATCAGTCTTAAAGATAACCCTCCTTGTTTGTAATCTGCTATGAAGCACCGACAGTTCAAAATAAGTGCCATACCCATGTTGGATATGGGGACATGGCGACACGACAAGGACACACGATTTTTTTTTTTTTTTCAGGGGACACGCCAAATAGTTCCCCCCCTCTCTTTCTTTAGTGCATTTAATGGATGTTGGATATTGGATGTTTATTCATTTTTGCTTAGATTTAAATACTAAATAAATCATCCATAAAAAAGATATAAACAATAAGTGTCAATATAAATTCATTTTTTTTTTAATTTTTAATATAAACTTAGTTTTAGTTTTTGTTAGTTTTGATTGTTTGTGGATGTAATATTAACCTACATAAAAAACAAAAATATATGAAAAAATATTTTATTGTCGTGTCCCCGCCGTGTTCATGTCTATATCCCCATTTTTTTAAAATCACCGTATCATGTGTCCCGTGTCTATGTACGTGTTTGTGCTTCTTAGGTAATCTATACTCCTCAACCACCTCATTAGCTACCAAAATAACATCTAAAATTATTTTATTTTTGATAAATAAAATAACATCTAAAATTTAACACCCCTCAACGAAGGCACCTTGAGAAGAGAAATGAAATCCCCCAAAACCAAATCTCAACGACATAGATAACACTTTTTCCAAACTTTTATACAAATAAGTAACTAAACAGATATGTCAAAAGTCACATGTTCTTAAAAAAAAATCTCTTTATTTGGAATCAAACATATAAATGTAGCATTTGCGCAAGTATCAACAATTCCTTTCTCAAAAAAGTCATTAAAAACTTTCAACAAATCAAAATTAACAATATCCCAACAAATGTAAAAAGTGGTCATAAAAAAGCCATTAAGCCCTAGGGACCCATACCTTTTTACACTTGAAAATCACCTTCCTATTTCCAATCCATCAAGAAGCCTTTCAACCAACTAACCTTCTCAGAATCAATGGGGGACCATTCCAACCCTTCGAATCTCAACCTACTCACCCCTCCCTCAAAAGAATACAATCTGGAATACACGGAAAAACCCCATTAATGATTTGATCTCCATTTGCAACCTTAGGAAATAATTTGAAATTATTATCCCATTCCTCAAGCCACTTATTAAGCTTTACATTTTTTAGACAAAGAAATTTCTTCACCTAAAGACCACCTTCTCAAATTTACTTTTGAAAAAATCTCTCTCCTTTCTAAGAGATTCAACAAGACCACCACTCATCTCAAGACTATCCAACTCATTGATCCTAATTAGAATTTTACTTTGTAGTCTCTTTCAAGTCTCCGAAAACCTTTGATCCAAATTTTTAACAACTATTTAATAAACTTTAGTTTCTTCATGAATTTGAAACTTCCCCTTCTAGTGAGGTCTACAACTTTCCCAACATTCCTAGTAACATTTCTTAAACAAGTGATGCTCTAACATATTCTCAGACCTAAAAGGAGTGGGACCCCAATTGATAAATGACTTTCTAAGACCCGTGGATAATGATCAAACATTGCTCTAGGAAGCACCTCTTTTCTAACATTCAGGAATCTCTCTTCCCAACCTAAAGAATACAAAAATCTATCCCGACTATTACGCACAAAATTCGCCCACAGGTTTGACCAAGTGAACCTAGCATTTGACAATAGAGGATCAACCAATTCGTACTCTCATAAATGCATCAAAGCCCCTCGTACTCCTAGTGACTTCATCCCCCTTTAGCGTTCTGGAAATTACTTTGATTACATTAAAGTTGCTACCAACACACCAATTTGGAGACCAAAGCCTAAACAAACTAGGCAACTCCCAAAATGATCCCCTAAGCTTTGGGGTATTGGATCCATAGACTCCCGTACGCTACCACTCTCTATTATCATTATTCCTAAATCCTAAACCAACTAGACACTAAAAACTCCCCAACAACTACTTCATATTCACTAATCACTCTCTCATCCCAAATTATCAAGTCCTCTCCCGAGGCAGATCTTCCACAAACCCAATTGTTATACCCTGTGAAGCACGGACATGGACACGGACACGGGATACGACATGGACACTCGAACACGCAAATTTTCAAAAAAAATAGGGGACACGACACGCTGGGAACACGTTTAATATACATAATTAAATTTATTTATTATATGTCATAAAATTTTAAAATTAATAAATACATATTATGAAAAAAAAATTTAAAAAAATTGTTCTTAAAAACTAATCAGCAAAATATATATATATATATATATAAATAAGACTGACTGAGAGAAAAAAAAAATTGAAGAAGAAAAATAAAAAAAACTTTAGTTTCTTCATGAATTTGAAACTTCCCCTTCTTGTGAGGTCTACAACTTTCCCAACATTCCTAGTAACATTTCTTAAACAAGTGATGCTTTAACATATTCTTAGACCTAAAAGGAGTGGGACCCCAATTGATAAATGACTTTCTAAGAACCGTGGATAATGATCAAACATTGCTCTAGGAAGCACCTCTTTTCTAACATTCAGGAATCTCTCTTCCCAACCTAAAGAATACAAAAATCTATCCCGACTATTACGCACAAAATTCGCCCACAGGTTTGACCAAGTGAACCTAGCATTTGACAATAGAGGATCAACCAATTCGTACTCTCATAAATGCATCAAAGCCCCTCGTACTCCTAGTGACTTCATCCCCCTTTAGCGTTCTGGAAATTACTTTGATTACATTAAAGTTGCTACCAACACACCAATTTGGAGACCAAAGCCTAAACAAACTAGGCAACTCCCAAAATGATCCCCTAAGCTTTGGGGTATTGGATCCATAGACTCCCGTACGCCACCACTCTCTATTATCATTATTCCTAAATCCTAAACCAACTAGACACTAAAAACTCCCCAACAACTACTTCATATTCACTAATCACTCTCTCATCCCAAATTATCAAGTCCTCTCCCGAGGCAGATCTTCCACAAACTCAATTCTTATACCCTGTGAAGCATGGACATGGACACGGACACGGGACACGACATGGACACTCGAACACGCAAATTTTCAAAAAAAATAGGGGACACGACACGCTAGGAACACGTTTAATATACATAATTAAATTTATTTATTATATGTCATAAAATTTTAAAATTAATAAATACATATTATGAAAAAAAAATTTAAAAAAATTGTTCTTAAAAACTAATCAGCAAAATATATATATATATAAATAAGACTGACTGAGAGAAAAAAAAAATTGAAGAAGAAAAATAAAAAATAAAATAGAAGAGAGAGAGAGGGGTTAGAATCAGCATAAAAGAAAAGAAAAGTCAAAGAGAGGAAAGGACAGAACAGAAGAAAGAGAGTGACAGAGAGAGAGCAAAGAAGACGAAGAAGATCAAAGAAGATCGAATGAAGAAGAAGAAGATCGAAGAAAATGGAAAGAAGAAGAAGAAGAAGAAGAGAATCGAGCAACATACCTTTGATAACAGTGAAAGCAACGACTAGCAAATGGCAAGCAGAGACCAGCGAGCACTGACCAACGACGATCGACCACTAACGAGCCACCAATGACCAACGACGAGCCTTTCTCTTCTCTTAGTTGGAAACTAGGTTAGCAATTGATTTTTAATTTTTGTTTTTTACAAATTGACCCCCACTTGAAGATTCAAGAATTTTATTTCTAACCTCGCGGTGTCCCAAACATGTCCCTTACGTGTCTATCTGCAAAAAAAATCAAAAAAAAAAAAAGAAAAGAAAAGAGGGACACTCTCTTCAACGTGTCAGACAATTGTCCACTGCGTGTCTGACGCGTATCCGTGTCCGACACTGATAAGTGGCCCTCGGAGAGGTGTCCGTGCTTACCTAACCCCCCCAAATGCTCTTAATCAACTTCCTATCGAATTTTTCTATTTCTATTTCTTGAAGAATTACAGTGTCTATATTATTCCTAATCAAAACCTCCTTTACCACACTTATGCTTTTCTTGGATAGTTCTCCACTCACATTCCAACTTATAATCTTCATTTTAGAACCACTTCTACCCATGATCTCATTTTCTGGACCATCATATTAATTCAAAAAGTCAAATTCCTCAATTCCTAATTCCCTTCCTACAATTACCCTTACCTCTCTCTCTCTCTCTCCCCCCCTCTGCCTCACTTTCTAACACATATCCCCTCTTGATCCATCCTCTCACCTTCTTCACTTAACTTGATCAAAGACAAACCCTTTATGTCTAGTCCCTGGCTTAACAACCCACCCCCGGTCCCACTTCATCAAGAGAATGTGTATTCCTCTTTAACTCAATCAACCATTTCACATTTTCATTAAGTTTCCTACCCCTGGAAGACTTAACCCCCTCCCATGATCAGGCATAAACATTCAATTTACGACATACTACCATAGTGACAAGACTCGAAAAAACAAGGAGTAAGGGCCTTTAAGATTCTCACCACGTATAATAGGTTTATCTCCAACCCCAAGTAAATCATCTCTCTCAGAAATTGACACTAGGCAAGGGTTTAAAACAAAAGCACCACTCCTAAAAGAAGGAAAGCATGGTTCCTTCATCAATGAAATCAAACTTATCCCAGTAGATACTGTTAGAATATATAGTCATATGTTATTTTTTGTGTTAACTTAAGTGAGGGTACTATGGTCATATGGTCATATTATATTTCATACAAATATTTT